CCGGAAAATAAAAGATATAATCTTTTCATCAGCCCACACGATTATATACGCAAAAAAGAGTGCTTTCTGATTTTGTATCAATATAGCCAGAGCAAAATATATTAATACAATAGTGTGAGGAGCACTCAAAAAACGTTTTAACAAAAATTACAACAAATAAAATAGAACACAATAAGTAAAAATAACACGTAAAAACAGAAAATAAAATGAAATAAAAAACAGAATAAAACAAAATCTGTAAAGCGAGTAGCGAATTCAGATGTACTTACATGAACGGGAAATTTTTCAAGAATGATTTAAAAAATATTTTCGTAACAAGATTGCCAGATTGCAAAAATTTACGCTCAATTTGCGCTTTTGTTTTCATGTTTTGCGATCTGGTAATCTTGTTACGAAAATATTTTTTAAATCATTCTTGAAAAATTTTACCGTTCATGTAAGTACATCTGAATTCGTTACTCGCTTTATGGATTTTGTTTTATTCTGTTTTTTCTTTTTATTTTATTTTGTTTTCTGTTTTTACGTGTTATTTTTACTTATTGTGTTCTATTTTATTTGTTGTAATTCTTGTAAAAAAAGTTTTGAGTGCTCCTCACACTATTGTATTAATATATTTTGCTCTGGCTATATTGATACAATATCAGAAAGCACTCTTTTTTGCGGATATAATCGTGTGGACTGATGAAAAGATTATATCTTTTATTTTCCGGACTTTAAAAAGAATTTCATCCTTTTTTTCCCCCCAGTTGTTTGTTATATTTTTTTTTCATTATTATTTTTCTTTCCCTTCCTTTTTTCATATGTCTATAATTTTCCTTTGTTTTATCTTTATTTTGAACTTATATATATATTATCATTTTTTGAAGATGTCTTAATTATATTAAATCGTTCGTTGCGGAAAACCACAATTATTAGCGCCATTTAGGCGTTTCTGATATTTAAGCAGACATCGAAATTTTTTCTTGATTTGACTGGAGATCAAACTCTTAACTCACATAATAGTGTGAGATATAAGTGACCTTATGATTAAGAATGATTTAATTATAATTTTAAAAAAAATTTCATTTAACTATTCAATTGCTTTTAAATATTTGTACCAAGAAAAATGCAACAATTATTGGAGTGGGTTAATGCTTACACACTGGACTATTCTGCTACGCAAAGTAGGTAGTTTGTTTATTATCTTCGTAATGGAGAATTAATATTTTAGAATTCAGTTGAATGTAAGGTTTAATGGCATAAAATCCAATTAATAATTTAGAAAATAAACCTACAATTAAAATGATTTTAAGACAGATAGCTGTTTCGGTACTATTAACGATTAGTATCATCAGCGCAGGAACTCAGAACGAAAACAGAAATAGCACAAAAATCGTGTTGTAATAATAAAAGTGCAAAAATTGACCAACACTGAAATGGGTTAACTAGAACATTCCAAGTCCAAGCAGTGGGAATAATAAAGAAATGTGGGGAAATAGAAGCAAGAAAAGTCAGTTGTTTGTTTTTTGCGCTAGTGCCAAAAAGGCTTGAATTAAGTCTCACCTTAGTCTTATATTAAAATTCAAAGCAAAGAAAAAAAAAACCCATTTAAACATTAATTTTAGAATAATATGGAAAAAGAAAACGGTATAATTTCCAGAATGCGAGGAATTTTTTTTCCAGAACATTTAATTGAGGAAAGTAAAAATGCAAAATTTTACATTTTTCTTGTGTGTGCCTGCCAGGTGGCCGAGTGGTTAGCGTGCCTGACTGCGGAGCCGATGGTCGCGGGTTCGAATCCTGTTCAGGGCATGAATGTTTCTTTCTCTCTCTGACTGTTCTTTCTCCTTTGTGTGTGTGATTGTGACCCGCCCTATAAACGGGTTTGTGGTTGTGTGACGTGGCGATGCTCCACCGCCGTGGTTTCGCCACAGGTGCCCACTGGGTAACGAGAAGGGAGTAGCAGTTCTGGCATTTCTGTGGCCTATGGGACAAATCCCAAGTGCCCGCCATTAAAAAAAAATTCTTGTAAATTTTTTATACGTTAGGATATCTCAATATATAAAAAATAAATATTGTTTTTATTTTGTGACTAATAGGGATATATGTCACGAACTGCTTGGACATGCTCCATTGTTTGCTGATCCAGATTTTGCCCGATTTTCTCAAGAGATTGGTTTGGCCTCCTTAGGAGCACCGGACGAATACATAGAAAAGTTAGCTACGGTAAGTTTAACTTTCCTCCGTAATTATTAAGAAAAATACTGTCTAATTTTAACAACGCATTTAGTTCTTATTCCTTAATCTTCTGCTTTTAATGTATATAATAAAAGCAAAAGATTATATATATATATAAAGTCTTTAAAATATAGAGAAAACATGAAAAATAATAAAGATTAGTGAAAAGAGAAGGGGGAGGGGGAATTATTAAAAGAAAATATTTTTTTAAAATATTTAAAAAAATTATTTAAATATGTATATTAACGAGCCGGAAAACAAAATAATAATAATCTCTTCATCAACTCTCATGACTATATCCGCAAAAAGTAATGCTTTCTAATATTGTATCAATATAGCCAAATCAAAATATATCAATACGATAGCGCAAGGAGCACTCAAAAAAAATTGAAACGATCACATTAAGTGAAAAATATATGCGAAATAAAACACCTCAAGCAAAAAATAAAGAACAAAACGAAATGTATAAAGCGAGTAGTGAATTTAAATGAAATTACACGTACCAAAACCTTTCAGGAATGATTTAAATTATTTTCATAATAAGATTGTCAGATTACAAAATATGAAAAGAGAAGTGTAAATAGAGGTGTCTTTTATGGCGCTTTCTTAGTGCAGTACTGAAGCGCGTTTGATTTTTTTAAGTACCTTGGATTGGCCCGAAATTGGATGTGCTCAAAGTAATAATATTATACTGTATAATTTAAAGTTTATAATTAATAAGGTTGATATTTAATAGTATAATTTTAATGATTTTAGAAAAATCATCATTCATTATAAAAAAATATGATTTGTCCGTTTGGCAGATGTAGTCATGGGTCTGTATGATTTTTAGCCATGGATTTGCTCGAATTATATTTGCAAATGGTAAAAATATAAATTAACTAAGAAGTTTTTAATAAATTTATTAATATTAACATACAATTAACTCAATGATTTTATATGGAACTTAATTACATTAGTTAGGTATCCGTATATGTATATCCGTAAGTATGTATATAAAGTTCAAAATACAGAGAAATCATGGAAAATAATATAAAGATTAAGTAAAAAATTATTATAATAAAATATTTTTAAAAATATTTAATACATTTTTTTTAAATTTAAACAAATATTAATAAGCCGAAANATATATATATATATAACAAAACAAAAAAATGTGTTTGCTTTATTTAAAAATATTGATGTCTACAATAATGTTATACTCATCATAAAATAAATTAAATAATATTCAGGCAAATAAGAGAAAAATATGTTTCACAAGTGTACAGTGCGCAAAATAAAAATCAGAACACCCTAACTTATCGAATGATCTGATTTTCGTCTTTTTATTGTAATTTTAACGATTCAAGGGTTTAAATATGTCAAATAAAAATTGTACAGATTATATTTTAAATTACGAAATCACACAGAAAAATGTACATTCTCTGAATAAAAATATCTTTTTTCCCCAAGTGATTCTGATACTTAAGGTTATTGTTGTACTTCTTATTGCTAAATTTACTTTTTTTGAATTTCACTTAATCGATGAAATTATTTAATTTAATAATATATTTTTAATAAATATAATTTTTAAGATTATTTATTTACGTACTTTAAATTCAATAGTTTTTACACTCATTATTGAAATTAATAAATATTCTGAATAAAAGCTATATTTTACATGAAATTGTCTTTGGATAAACAAGGTTTATAATTCTCAGCAGAAATATTGATTCGCTTAAACAGTTTTTGCATATTAAGAGTTGAAATACGAAAAGAGATTAACATTAAATGGACCAAACTTTCGACCAAAATTCTGCTTAAAATATTATAACCATATTTTCCAGATATGGCCGCTACTCCTACTTCCCATATTCTGAGGATCAAAAATTTGAATCCGTTTTATAATTTAAAATATCGTCTTCTCAAACTCATTAAAGTTAACTCTTGATTAATTTTAAGGTTCGCCTTTTGAACCATTATGATCCCATCATATAGCACGTGATCCGATCATTAAATCGAAAGTTATTGCGGTGTTTCGATTTTTGTTTTGTGCACTGTACGTTGAATGAATAGTTAAGATTTGTTATTGTTGAAAATGTTATGCAGCTACAAACTCAATGTAGAAAACAGAGTTCAGCATTACAATAAGCAATTCATAATGTAAAAACAAAAAGAAGAAAAAGATGAACAAAATAGAAAAATAAATCATTTTATAAAAGAAGCAATTGTTTGGAAATCTATGCTCTTAAGATACTATCATTACCAACTGTTAATTTTTTACATTTTGGAAAGCAAACAATGATGGTTATTTTAGCCAAACTAATTGGAAATTACATCATTTAATAAGTAATTCCTTTTTTTAGTGCTATTGGTTTACAGTTGAATTTGGTCTATGTAAACAGAATGGAAAAATGAAAGCTTACGGTGCAGGTCTTCTGTCCTCGTTTGGTGAATTGGAAGTAAGTATACTAATTTCTTAATACAAACGTAAGATCTTCTGAAATTTATATACGGTAATTAGCTTATACTAAGTTCATTTTCCCCAACTTTAATGGACCCACCTTTAATATTTTTTTTTCAAGAGAATTGCTTCACAGCCAGCACATCACAAAATCCAATGCTTTTAAGGTAGAACATTAAGTTTGATCAGTTTTAGGACTCAACAATATACCCTGAGTTACAGAAAAGGTTCATCGAACTAAATAATTTTAAAAATTCTCACCTTTAAATAAACTTACCTGTCTAATAAAAGTAAAAACACGGGTGGGCAAAGATTAAATACGAAAACTCTCTACTTTACCTTTCTAATTAAGAAAAACAATATTTCTGATTGAGAATTTCTGTCAGAGATTTCTATTTTGAGAATTTTAAGTTGGAAAGATTAAGTGGAGAGTTTACCAATATTCTTATAGGAATTTTACGACTTGTTTTAAAGTTTTGACATGAAGTTCGTAAGACTTATTTAAGCTAAATTTTTGTAGCAAGAGCAACGTTTAGCAATAACGTGCTTTAAGCTAGGTTAAAATCAATAACTAGTTTAAATCTTGTTGTCAGGTAGAGCAACCGTAACAACAACTCAATTTGGCTTCACATGCAGAGTGCTTAGTATAGCTGTAGAGTTAGGTGCTTGTCCTTCGAAAAAAGTTAGTTTCAAACATAAAGATGCACAACATCAGCGTAAGAACATTAATCATGAGAATCTAGAACAAATATACAACTTTATAGAATGTTTTGACTTACTTTAGTATGTTTAATTTACATTAAGCTAAATGATTTTTCCCCCCTTCCAATTATGTATTGTTTACCGCTTTAGATCTGTGTGTTCTTTTAACTTTTCGAAACTTATAACAGTTCAAGCTCGCTCCGTTTTAGGGAAAAACCCGTTGCAAATAAAATTCATGGGGTAGCATAATTTAAAAAAAAGCAAATAAGTGCACAGTTTGATTTTAATAGAGTTGCTAATTTATTTTATTATCCATCAAAAGTGCCATTAAGATAATTAGCATATTTGTATTTTTCAAATGCTAACATATGTTGTACTGAACATTTTAATATAAATTCACCACGATAACTCACGAACATGAACATTAAATCCACTCTCACTTAAGCAATACAAGTTTATATTTACGTATTAGTATCTTGATTTTTGACTGAACGATTTTAAATCTAAAAATACTAGAAATTCTACTTATTTAAAAAAGGCGGACCAACTAGTCGCTGAAAGCGGCTAGTAAAAAATAAAATAAATTTTACCCGTGAAAACAGAAAATTACTCTCCAACTTTCCAAAAATACAAAACTCAAACTGAAAAAAATGTACTTAGACCCTCTGCTGAACCTCACAATGATTACAATTCTCCTCTAACAATAACTGAATTAAAATCTGCTATTAATAAATGTAAAGAAACATCTCCAGGGCCTGACAAAATTCACAATAGTATGTTTAAACACCTCTCTGACACCCATTTGGAAATAATTTTAAAACTGTTTAATAGAGTTTGGGTGAATAGACAATTCCCATCAATATGGAGAAAATCATATATAGTTGCCATTCCTAAACCAGGTAAGGACCCTATACACCCTACCAATTACCGACCAATCGCTCTCACCAGTTGTCTTTGCAAACTTCTAGAGAGAATAATAAACGCAAGATTAATATATTTATTGGAATCTCGTTGTATTTTATCTAAGAGACAAAGCGGATTTCGCAAGTGTAATTCAACTGTTGACAATCTAATGCTCTTAGAAACTGATATACGTGAAGCGTTTTTAAAAAGGCAACATCTTGTGACGATATTTTTTGATATTGAGAAAGCGTATGATCGAACGTGGAGATACGGCATTTTAAGGGACCTTTTAAATTATGACATTAATGGAAATATGTTTTATTTTATTCAAAACTTTTTAACAGACAGGACATTTCAAGTTAGAATGAATAACACTTTATCTGACACTTTTAATCAAGAGGAAGGTGTTCCTCAAGGTAGTGTCATTAGTGTAACCTTATTTCTTATAAAAATAAACGATATTTTAACCACATTACCATCTACAGTGGACGGCAGGTTATTCGTTGATGATNGTTAAGATTTGTTATTGTTGAAAATGTTATGCAGCTACAAACTCAATGTAAAAAACAGAGTTCAGCATTACAATAAGCAATTCATAATGTAAAAACAAAACGAAGAAAAAGATGATGAACAAAATAGAAAAAAATAATCATTTCATAGGAGAAGCAATTGATTGGAAGTCTATGCTCTTAAAATACTATCAATATCAGCTATCGACTCTTTACATTTTGGAAAGTAAGCAATGATGGTTATTTTAGCCAAATAATTGGCAATTACGTCATTTAATAAGTAATTCCCTTTTTTTTTTCAGTGCTATTGGTTTACAGTTGAATTTGGTTTATGTAAACAGAATGGAAAAATGAAAGCTTACGGTGCAGGCCTACTGTCCTCATTCGGTGAATTGGAAGTAAGTATACTAATTTCTTAATACAAACGTAAGATCTTCTGAGATTTATATACGGTAATTAGCTTATACTAAGTTCATTTTCCCCACCTTTAATGAACCATAGAAAAAAAGATACAGAACGAAATGAATTTATAAATAAAATGTGTGTACAAACGGGGTATGCATATAAATTAGTTTTTTTTTTAAAAAAAAAATTAGTTGAGAAAAATGAAATTAATCCATTAAATAATACCAAATAAATCACAATTACTATCTGATTCTCTGACACCAACAAACCACCAGAATGTCTAAAGTTTCTTCTTAGGTATTCTGGTGGTTAATTGCACCTAAGTGTCTTCTGACACCAAAAGAAACATAGGAGTCACTATCGGCAACGCAGCTACCAAGGGAGTCAAACTCTAAAGTTAACAAGTTATTACTAACTACCAGAGCTGTTTTATTTTTTTTTCTTCTTCAAGAGAATTGTTCCACAGACAGCACATCACAAAATTCAATGCTTTTAAGTTAGAGCATTAAGTTTGATTAGTTTTAGGACTCAACAATATATCCTAAGTTACAGAAAAGGTTCATCGAACTAAATAATTTTAAAAATTCTCACCTTTAAATAAACTTACCTGTCTATTACAAAAACTCTCTACTTTACCTTTCTAATTAAGAAAAACAATATTTCTGATTGAGAATTTCTGTCAGAGATTTTTATTTTGAGAATTTTAAGTTGGAAAGATAAAGTGGAGAGTTTACCAATATTCTTATAGGAATTTTACGACTTGCTTTAAAGTTTTCCCCATGAAGTTCGTAAGCCTATATATTAAAGCTAAATTTTTGTAGCAAGAGCAACGTTTAGCAATAACTTGCTTTAAGCTAGGTTAAAATCAATAATTAGTTTAAATCTTATTGTCAGGTAGAACAACAACTATGATTTTTGTGCTTAGTATACCTGTAGAGTCAGGTGCTTGACCTACAAAAAAATTAATCTTAAACATCAAAATGCACAACATCAGCGTAAGAACATTAATCATGAAAATTTAGAACGAATATAGATCTTTATAGAATGTTTTGATTCACTTTAGTATGTTGATTTAAATTAAGATAAAAAAATAAATAAAAAAATTTCAAATTTTTTTCTCTCTCAAACATGTAATGTTTACCGTTTTATATCTGTGTGTTCTTTTAACTTTTTGAAACTTATAACAGTTAAATTTCGCTCCGTTTTGGGGAAAAACCCGTTGCAAATAAAATTCATGGGCTAGCATAATTAATAAAAGCAAATAAGTGCACAGTTTGACTTTAACAAAGTTGCTAATTTGTTTTACTATCCATCAAAAGTGCCATTAAGATAATTAGCATATTTGTATTTTTTAATTGCTAACATATGTTGTACTGAACATTTTAATATAAATTCACCACGATAACTCACGAACATGAACATTAAATCCACTCTAACTTGAGCAATATGAGTTTATATTTACGTATTATCTTGATTTTAGACTGAACGATTTTAAATCTAAAAATACTAGAAATTCTACTTATTTAAAAAGGCGAACCAGCTAGTCGCTGAAGGCGGCTAGTAAAAAATAAATCTTACCTGGGATAGAAAAAAAAAATTTATACAATAATTGAATTTAAACATTAAGTTTTTTTAAAAATTATGTTATGAACCGTGGTGGCTTAGGGGATACAGCGTTCGTCTACCAATGAGCTGAACAGGGTTCGAATCCCAGCGATGACTGGTCGATACGAATTCATACCCGGGTCGCACCGACCACAGTGCTGGCGTAAAATATCCTCAGAGGTAGACGGATCATGGGTTACAGCTCCCTTGCCGTCAGGCTGACCACGAAAGGTTTTCGTGGTTTTCCTCCCCATGTAACGCACATGCGAGTTAGTTCCGTAAAAATGGTTCTCCAGAAAGGCAAATTTCTCCCGACACTTGATCCACGAGTTCCCTTGTCTTCTGGATTGGGTTGAAAGTTACAAGGCTACGGAGTTGAATATTCGTATTCGTAAACTCGAAATCGGGTCGGCTGTTCAACGACGGTTATAAAATAAAATTCTGTTGGAAATATTTAAATTTTTATGAGTAAACTGACAATAGTACACACAGAGATGAGGATTTGAATAAATATATAAATTAAAATGAATATAAAATTTTATTTGTTATTTGTCTAATAAATATATTGATTTTTAAAAGTCGTTATAAATTTTGATACAGATAAATATAAAATTTATAGTTGAACAATAATTAAAATAATGTTTTTTTTCTTTCTAGTATTGTCTTTCAGGTAAACCAATGATAAAAGATTTTGATCCACCGACAACAGGTTGCACGAAATATCCAATCACGGAATATCAACCCCTTTACTATTTAGCCGAGAGCTTTGACGATGCGCAAAGAAAAGTTAGGTAAGTTCTATGATATTTTCATACATCTTACCCTAACCTTGAGTTACCATAGCAACAAAATCTATATTTGAAAGACCTTTTTTAATACTAGTTATGTCTTAAGTAATGAAAATGCTGCAAGTTTAAGTTTTAATTTTTTTTATTAACTAAATTATCTCTTTCATGGATTTGGTACCAGTCAACCAACTCAATTCATAGCAGTGAAATTAGTTTATAAGTGTTACCCCATCTCAAGCAACTATACAAGATTTTTTATTATGGAGATTAAATATTACCAGAGAATTTATATTATGACACGAAACACTAAAAAAAAATAGATAAAATTGTATAATAAGCGATATGAAGTATCAGTTTAAATTTCCGATTCACAGAGTGTTTTGCATTAAATAAAATGAAGGGTATTCCGCTGTATTAATCATTCTTATTCTATATTATTAGAATAATCGACATTACTTTCCGGTCCCCCTAATATTTTAGTTCAAATGAAAGACAATAAATAGATAAATTTGTAGTGAAACTTTGTGACAAATGAGGTAGGTAGGTAGGCAGAAAATAGAACAATTCAAAAAAAAAAAAAAAAAAAAAAAAAAAAAAAAAAAAAAAAAAAAAANGTCCTTTTTTTCCCCAGGATTTTTCTTTCCTTGCTTTTTTCTCCCTTATTCGAGAAATAAATTAGTGATTCCTGCGATAGCATGAGCACACAAGGAAAGTTTTGTTTCGAGAAAAGAAAAACATTAAAATTCATGCTATACAATTGTAAATTCATGTAGTATTACAGAGTACGCCATCACTAATTATATTTCTTAGAAGTAGGCTTAATTTGGGAATTGTAAATAGAAGTTTTAAAACAAAATAGGGAGGTAGCAAATTTATTAATAAATATAAGTTTTATCATGAAATTATTTAAAAAATTTTGATGACACCGAGACTAGCAATGATTTTTTTTCAAATCATTAACCTCAATATGGTTTGATTAAAAGAATAAAATGCTACAATAACACCTACTCCAGATAAAAATACGTAGTTATAATATAATTAAAAACCAAATTACGATATATTTTCTTCTACTACAACAGCGTCCTAAATCCTACAACAACGTCTACATCTACGTTCGAATTTCGATCATTGAATATCCAGCTAGCTAGGAAATTCTTTGTAATTAGAACAGGTTAAGTAAATAGAACAAAGTTAAGTGAATTTCCCCACTCTCCACATTTCCCCCTCACTGTTACCGTGGTTTTTGGCAATTCTTATTTTTTTCAATTTCTTCTTCAAAAACTTCCAATTGTTTCTGAAACGTACTGACGTGGGGGAAAAAGAAAAACTAGCCGAAACCATGGTGACGAAGTGTGGAGAGTGGGAAAAACGCGTAATCTCGAGATGCTTATTCTATTCACATAAGAGTATAGTTGTATCTGCTATATTGTTAGTCGGAGCTTGCTATGGTGCAAGCTATTCTATGAACTTCAGCGACAGCTATTATATTCTCGTATTTATCTTTCCGTAATTTTCAGAAATCGACACTTATGGGACGTCAAATTAAATGAATAAATTTATATAATTATTTTTCGATTTTTAAAATTTTGTATTTATCTATTACAGGGAATTTGCTTTATCTATACCTAGACCTTTTACTGTTCGTTACAATGCCTACACTCAACATGTTGAAATCCTTGACGCCAAACCTCAAGTGGAAGGATTAGCTAGAGATTTACGCTGTAAGTAGTTATATTTATCTGAAGCATCTAATGTGTGCACAGTATGAATCGAAATTAACACAAAAAGTAATGTTGATAGAAAGCACAGGTATTTACTGAATAATTATGATTTTACTTATTAATTCAACACAGAATAGGGTGTTTTATGGAATAGAATATGGTGTAAATAGATCTTATTTGCTGCTTTATCGAAATTTTCAATGGCCGTTTTGAATACACATAACTGGATTTCATTTCACAACGATCAATAATTTCTTTCAAAGTGTGTTTGTAGGCATAACCTTCAGCCGTCAAAAAATTATTAATAAGACATAGATCCTTTGGCGTTTAATCGCATGATATGGGCGGTCGATTCTGAACATCAAATTAAAAATTACATTACCACGGAATAGTTCAACTGTGAACTTTTATTTTGTTGGCAACATTTTATAGCACAAAACTTAAATCTTGCATAAATTTTGGGACACCCTTTATTATTCATATTAAGATGGAAAGGGAAGTAAGGTGCAAAATTCAATGCTTGCAAACAAAAACGAGGATTTTGCTAACTTCAAGGTTCGTAAAACAGAAATGAATTGAATTAAATGTAGGGTTAGAGGCACAAGATCCAAAAAAGGACATGTTGCGCCAAACACACGGTTTCAAAAATAGATTAAAAAGAAAAAAGTACATGTATAAAATCTGATAAGATGGAGAAAAATATAAAACATTGTAAGGATACATGCATTTAAAATGTATAAAACTTCATGGTAAATTTACTATAGTAAGAAGTATGAAACAATTGTATAAAACTTTTTTTGCCGCACTGTACAGCTTGAATATGTTATAATACTTTTTTTAGCAGTAGTTATAGCCATGGTAATTCGAAGAAGGGAGCAACATCGACGCAAATAAAATTGAAGGTTAAACCTGGTAGGTATTGAAGATTGCTGTCAATTTTACAGTTATAAACCCCGTAAACAGACAGTTGCAAATTTTTGCCTGAAGACCGAACTATATGTTTGTTGAAAATAAGTTTAATTTATTCTAGAGTATGCTCGATCTGTAAGAAGAGACAGTTGAAAATTTTTGGCTGAAGACCTAACTACAATTACTTGCCAGAATATTTGTTAAAAATAAGCTTAATTTATACTAGAGTATTGCTCGATTTGCAAGAATGCGCATCACAATAATTTCGGTGTATTATCATTTATTTAGAAATATTAACAAATTTAGAATTATGTAATGATTATTTTATTGTTATTGGTTAAACTTATACATATTTATAATCTAACTGTGTTTTTACTATTTCAGCTGAAATGGAACTTCTCATGGATGCTCTGAGAAAAATTTAAATGTCTAATGTCTGCTGGCCATCATTAAGGATGGAGAATTAAACATTAGAGTACTAGAATTCTCAGTGATTAGCTTATTATTTGTATAGTACACAACTTAAATGAAGAAAGTTTCACGACGTATAATTGCAAAAGAACTTCGTTTGTTTTTATTTATACTCTGTATCATTTTCAAATATTGTCACTGATTAATGTTGTACAAATGATAGTATTTTATAAGCTTGTATGAATTATGTATAAAGATTTAAAAATCTCCATATTCAATTGCATTTTTTTATACACCAAACATGCTTTCACGCATTAAAATTTACAGGGAAAAGTTTAATACAGAAGAAAGACTACTTTCAAAATGCAGGCTGTACAGGGGTCAAATGGTAGTAAGGAATATCGAAAAGATGGAAAACTGTTTAGCAAGCCATGACCAGAAATGTTATCGTACGACGTACGTCCATATACAGAGCGATTCCCTAATATGGACAGCTATTTGTTTAAAATATCTCTATTTCCCATTTATTAATAATCATTGTTGAAAATTTCAGTCAAAGAGGCTCGGAAAAAACTGTTTTATCGTAATTACTTAAGTTAGTCACCACATCATTAAACTACGATAAAATAGATAATACTGCAACTACTTGAATGAAATTTTAAACATTAATTATTAATATGAAACATAAAACTAAGATAATTTCTATAATTAAAAGAACCTATTCATAACATAAATGAATAGGAAAAGTTCATAATATAATAGGACAGTGACCCAAGAGGCGTACGATAACATTTCCGGTCATGGGCTCCCATGCAATTCTCCATTCTTCTGATGTGTCCCAATTAGTTATGAGACACCCTACACATCGCATTGCTTAAAAACTTATAGAGGTTTGTTTTGAAGTCAGAAATCTTGCGACGCAATACCGAGAAAGAAATTTTTATTCTGAGGTTATTACTTCTACAATCGGATACCTCCAAGTGTTGTGTCATTGTAGGAAAATCACAGTATTTGTCGATTCAGTAGCCAATCACGTTCGATACACAAGCATGACGTCGCTTACTTAATCACTTCACTTTTTCTCAAGTTGTAAGCACCACATTCGATTTCATATACAACTGTACCGAAAAAATCTTTTAAAATCATGACTTGTTCACCTCTTATTTCCTCCCCTTAGTTACCCATAACCTATCAAGAACTCTGACGTTTCAGGAAGCTCGCCGGATAGGTCCTATTCCATGACAGCTAAGATTACATATTGTTCAGTAAGTACGCAAAATATCAACATCATGTACCTCGCGACAAACAAAACAAAATCCGTTATTTAATTTCGCTGGACGATCTGCTTCTATCAGACCTGTATCCAAATTTCCACAAATTGGTACTAATCAAATATTACTCCACTATCATACCAACGAACAGTTACAATTTCATTTCGTGAGTCAAACTTTTGATCGATCTATCTATCTTCCCCAACATTTTAAATGATTTTGAAAGGAATTTTTTTTCCCATTCTATTTTCTCTAACAGTTCCTGTAACGTTAAAGATTTTACTTTAGAGACCAACGAAAAGATCTTAAGACGTGAAAAAAGTTATCCATATAAATTTTGTGCATTTCTGGAGTTTCAACTATTGATAGCAAATTTTCAATAACCATTTGAGATTACTTTTTTTCTTTCTTTATTGTTTATTTATACCTCGACCCGCCCTATTCAGGGCACACGAGAGTAGAACAAACATTCTACTGACAAAACATACATAAAACACAAAAAATTACATTAGCAACAAGTATAAATTACATATAAAGAATAAATTAAATTATGAAAATATTTACACTATAAAATACAAAGGCATAGAGAAATGCCTTAAACAAAAAGCATAGAAAATAATTTTAACTTAATAATAATGAAATTACATGGCAGATAAGTAACTGGAAAACATAAGAAGATTATTTTGACAGCTGTCGAAAGTGTAAGGCTCTCAAGGAGGCTGGATAGCAAGAATTTTGAAAGGAAATATGAAAAAAATAAGAGTCATCTACAAAAAGTCTGCAATGAGGAAAAAAAATGTTTATAGAGTTTCTCTAGCGATTGGTATATTCAACAAACAATAGGTATATTTTTCTTTCTTTATGTCAGATTTAATATCTTTCTTTGTTCCTTGATATGGTATTACTTGTATATGAAAAACATCTAGAACCTGCATCCAAATTTCATGGGTTTCTCTTTCTTATACATTTTGCAACTGGGTTTTCTAAAATAACGAACCGTTCTTTCATCAAAATTTAAAAGTTCCGAAAACACGCCAAATTGTTGTATAGTTTCGTTCAACAGTTCATAAATTGAACGAACTTTGTAATAATAGCAGTGTTGTCATTGCAAAGTAAATACTTCTTGATATTAAAGTACCTTTTTCTCGCCATTGCTTGACTAATTAGCGTTGTTCCAACATCAAGGGCATTTTCCCAGCACAGTTTTCCAGTAGGCAAATGTGATAAAAACTAAAGAACTTCCTAAAAATTGCTTAAATTCGTCAGTGTTTAGATGAAATTCTTTATTTATTTATTTATTTATTTTTTGTCTAGCATACTTGGGACTTTAGTGTACTATTTTTGCAATAATACTTTTAGCCATCATTTCTAAAATCACGTCCACTATTTTTTGACGATGTTCACCATAAAATAACTCAGAAGCTGACGAAAATTTTGATTAGTCCATTGTGGTGATAAAATACTTATATCTGTAGTAGTTTTTCCCTGTATGACTTTAATAGTTCCTGCAGTTTCTTTGTGGTTTTTCATCAAATATAGCATGTCAATATTCAGTACTAGTGCAGGCGCCATGAATTTCTTCATCATCAGTGACTACGTCTAGATGAGGCGGCAAAATTACCATTTTAGGGTCACTATCATCAAATTCGTCACTTACTTACTTATCCTCTACGTGCCTTTGGGCACTTACGGCCTCTAGCATATCCCTCCAACGCCTCCTGTCTCTAGCAATAGATCTTGCTTCCTCCCAGTCAGATATTCTACATTCTTTTAATTCGCCCAAAAACATGCGCTGGATGGTAAGTCTGGGTCTACCTCTTGTTCTTTTACCATCAGGGGCCCATGTAAGCGCAACAGATGTAATTTTTTCTTTGGGCATTCTAAGGATATGTCTGAGTCAGCTCCATCTTCACTTTTTAATTTCATCTTCTATTGTTTTTATTTTAGCTTTCTTTAATAGATTTTGACTTGATACTTTGTAAGGCCAGAAAATTTTAAAAATAAATCTTAAACATTTGTTTTGAAAGGTTTCTAATTTTTGTATTTCGATCTTAGTCTGTTTCCAGGTTTCTGCGCCACACAATAGTACTGCTCTAACAATAGCTCTGTAAACAACTATTTTTGTCTTTATTTCAATATTTGACTCTCTCCAAAATTTATGTAATCCCTTAAAACATGTTCTTGCTTTGATTATTCTCTGTCTAACATCTTTGCTACTTCCACCTTTTTTTATCTACAGCTAAATGACTCTATGTCATCTATTTCTTGATTTTCGATTTTAATTTTGTCATTCTTCTTTTGATCTATTCTCATTACTTTTGTTGCGATACAGCTAGCGTCATCTGAGGAAAATATTTTCAACTACCATTATTATTACTCAATAACTTTTCTGGAAACCGCCAACGGCGGATGTAAAATTTTTTACTCTTTGTTATTAAAAGTTTTGTTTTGTTACTAAGCCCTTGTGTGCTTGTCTCATTTGTTATTTTACAATGAGTGTATAATATGCCATTTTTCCCAGTTTCGAATATAATTAAATCGGGTAGATTTTATCGGATAACCCCATCTTTTATATTTAAAAATAGTATTGTTAAATAACTGGCGCCCGAACAGGGACCCGATATTTGATATATTAATTTCGAGACTGAATTTTTCTGAACTGTGCTAATATGGAACTAATTCAATTAAAAGCGAAAAGAAAAGGACTAAGAACTTTTTTTTCGCTATGTGTGAAAAATATTGAAGACGTGCTCAATGTTGCTGAATTGGATACTTAGGAAAGTAATATAAAAACGCTTTCGATTTACGAGCTCCAATTGAAGGACAAATTTGAGCGGTTGGCAAACTGCCAAGAGGAAGTTTCTAATTGTATTCTTCTCTTGGAAAATGCCGACACAGAATATGAGTCGGACTTCGAAAAAGCGGAGGAATATCGTGACAAATATCACGAAATTTGTTCCATATTAACTGAACATTTAAGTAAAACAGATGTAGTTCAAAGAAAATATAAACTCCCACAGATTGAGCTACGTAAATTTAGTGGTGAATTAAAAGATTTCTTAGGCTTTTGGAGCCAATATGAAAAAATTCATTCCGACGAAACTTTGTCGAAGGAGGATAAGTTTCAGTATTTGTTGTCGTCTTTAGAGCCGCAGTCAAAAGCGGCCCGGGTTGTCGGCAGCTTCCCTGCAACGGCTAAGAACTACGATAAAGCCATTGAACAGTTAAAAGAGCGTTTCGGACGGACAGATTTACTGGTGCAAGTTTATGTCCGGGACTTATTATCACTTGTAATGAAAAATGCTATATCTGGTCGATCCAAAACTGATTTACCTGCATTGTACGATGAATTGGAAGGAAAGATACGGGCCTTGGAAAGCCTAGGGCGTACACAGAGCAATTACGGAGATTTTCTAATGCCACTAGTAGAATCTTCTTTGCCGGAGACTGTTTTGATTGCATACGAAAGAAGTCGTTCTTCTGACCAAGGGGAAAGATCTTTGCAAAAATTAATGAACTTTTTACAGCAAGAGGTGAAGGGTGAGGAGCTTGTCGTCCTCGCTCGGGCTGGATTTGGAACCNTGTTAGCTTGTTTTTTATGGTTATTAATTGTTTTTTTTTTAGCATTAATTGTTAATTTTTTATTAATAATTGTTTATTATTTTGTGTGTTTTTTGTTAATTTTAATTTAATTGTTACATATGCTTCATAGTGTAATACCATTTGTGTAATAACAAATGTGATCGGTGGCGTGCCCGAAATATTGTGTCGGGTGCCATAAATGGCACGCGTGCCATTGGTTCGCCATCCCTGTCTTAGGAGAACAGCAGCGGGATTTCAGAACTGGTGTGAACCGCATTTTATGGGAGGATATCTATTTTTAGAGAAAGGGAAGAAAGTCATCGGAGATATTTTAAGAAGATGATGTAATGCTTAGGCCGAAGACAGGCATTGGAAAATGTGTGCAGCGAAATTTAATATCCCATTAAAATAAACAAGA